TGTTACCTGCGGAGTGGATGAGTCCAAGATGCTCAGCCATGGCTTTGTGAACTTTTGGGTGTTGGTGCATCTCTTGTTGTCGATCTGAGTATTCTCACAAGAACAAATGCATGCATGTGTTAGTATGTGGTTTTCTCATGCGAATACGCACCATGGAAGACAATACCGAGAGGCAAGCTGTTTAACTTTGGGTTTTGAGGTTTCGCTGCCAAGATCCTGCGAGCGTGATAATTTCCAGGACTGAACTCGAGAGCACTGGAGCACATGGCAAGGAAGCACAAGGATGAAGGCTAAGTTATGCGAGGTTGAGAGGGAGCACGGTACCACATTGCTGTTGAACTGGATGAGAGAAATGAAGGGCCTCTTTCGGTTTTTGAATAATGTGTGACAGGGTTGTTTTTAGAAATGAGAGAGAGATCTGACCTTTCATTTGGAATCCTAAGGATGCAATGCACTGATGCTTGCCGCATGTCCAAGACTGTGTTTCCCATGTTTGTCCGAAATGAGTGTTTTGAATTGAAGAGAAAGAGAGCCGTTCGGCTCTGGCTCGAGGTTAGTGGAAGGGAATCCAATGTGTATTCAAGAATAGCTAGGGTTTATGGCGCATGTGTGTGGCGCGCGTGTGGGCTACCAAGAGGGCTGATTGTTGGCCTGATTGTTTTCTCACGGCCCAATTCCAATTTTTAAGGCTTTCTTTATATGCGGCCACTAGCAATTGCCATCAATAATGGCCCATCATTCAACAAGTGAAAAGCTCAGTGTCTTTTGTACCTCATCTTCTTGTGTTCGAAATCCCAGGTCATTTCTTTCTTTATTCTTCTCTATGTTATTTTGTTTTTCTGTTACTTCTTCTATTCTTTTAGTTATTTTTTTTAGTTTCCTTTTCATGATTTTGAATAGTTTAGTTTCTTTTCTTTATTTTTTCCACACCTTGGGGACAATGTGTGATTTAAGTTTGGGGGTAGGAAAGAGAATTGTTAGATTTTTTTATTTTTTTTGAGTCATGTTAATTTTTTTCATTTTTAAGTTAATATCCATATATGATTTTAAACGTTAGAACAAATGGACATGGTGAAGATTAATCCCACAGTAGAGTCTTTTCTATTTATCGTTGCTTAGACACTAATTCATGGGTTATACTTTGAAAATTTGCACATTCACATCAACATGGTTTGTGGGGAGTGAGATTGAAACACTTACTTTTAGTCTAAGTTTATTTTTAATTTTTGTTTCAAGTAGAGCTAGTTCTTGTTATGAATAAAGTAATAATTGTTCCACCTGAGGCTTTGCCTAGTAACCGGGCCAGTCCTGCCTAATCAGCAGTTATTCTCGCATCAAACAATAGAGTCTTGGCATAGGGCAGGGTGGTTAGTTGGTTTCGTAGCCTTTTCAGCTTGGGTTAATAAGTCCTTAGGGCCCTAAAACCCTAGTGGTTTGGGAGTCATTGACCTAAAGCTCACTACATGGGTTGGATCGAAAGCTTAAGTGAACTGACATTGCACGACCACTACTGTTACTAAAAAAAAAAAAAAAAAAACAAAAGAAGAAAATTCGAAAAAAGAAAAAAAAAAAGTGTAAAGTTAGTACGTGTGGAATAAAAAGGACAAAAAGTAAGGGTTTTAGTCGAGTCTCTTTAGCCATGTTGGTTTACTTTACACCAAAGGAAGTTCATGAATTCTTTTCTAATTGATTCTAAATGGCTGAGACTTTGTAGTGGGATTAGTTGGAACTTTTGAAAAGATGTTCTGATTTTTAATGTTTTCTATGGATTGCAACTTTGAAGGTGAAAAATTTTGTCATTTAGTTTTAGTTAAGTTTTTAGTTTGTTAGTTTTTTTTTTTTTTTTTTTTTTTTGAGTTTTGTTTTGCTTGAGGACAAGCAAAAAGCTAAGTTTGGGGGTATTTTGATGAGTCAATATTATATTATATATTTTACCCTATTCTTAGTATTAATTTGGTAATTATTTTGGTAGAATTTTGATATTTTGCTTTATATTTTCAATATAGGACATCCGACTTCCTCTAGAGCAAAACATGATCAAATAGACGAATTTTAGAGTGATTCAAATTGGAGACATTCGTGTGTCTCTTGTCTTGTTCGTATCAAAGTTTGGGATTTTTCTACCAAGCGGTTATTTTCTGACGATTAAATAAAGAAGCAGTGCACGTTGTTGGAAAGTGACGTTTCTGGGTTTGACTTGCATTTTTGGAGCCCAAGATAACCTCATATGGGTTCAAGGCCTTCTGGAGAAGTGTTCAAAATAATTCAAACTTTAAATCCAACTACTTTGGGCCAGTTTTGGAGTTGATTTGGGTCCAAAACGTGGCTGTGCAGATTTCTAGGCGAATTTACCAAGTTAATTTAGGATTATGTTTCCTATTTTATTTCAAGTTTTTAGGTTTCCTAGTTTGATTCTAAGACCTTTGACTAGGAGGATTTTAATGAGAGTTGTATAAATAAGCTTTTTGGCAAACCTAGTTAGGGTTTTTTTTTGGGCATATGCAACTTTGGAGAGAATAGTTTGGCTAAAGTTTTAGAGATTTCAAGACTTACACTTCAGATGTTTTCATCCTTTTTCTATTTTAATACAATTATGTTGATTTTATTTATGAATATGCGTAACTAATCCCTTTTGCTAGGGTGAGGCCATGATCCTTAGCAAGAATATGTAGTCTCTTTTTAATTTTCTTATGAATTTATGCATGCAAGTTTTGGGTTGGTAATCACTGTGCGTTAAACTATCTATTTGTCTTAGTGATTCGCGACCATTTGGATATTTAGAAAAGTAATTTGATGCAGTATTGGCGGAGGGCTGTCCCTAAAATTGACTAAGGTTTCTTGTGGCTAACATGTGTAACTACTTAGGATGGACGACACATCTTAGGAGTTATATGGTTTTGTCAAAAGGTCTTCACAAAACTTAATGAGTCTTGCATGTTCACAGTCGATCTGGACGCCATGGACGGGTTGCATGTTAGATATACGTTCTATATTGGGGTTTCCAAGTAGGGCATACTTTAGGAAAACCTAACTTTCAAAATATGCATGTGTAATTCATAAGGAATTAGAAAAACTACGTAGGATCGTTAAGGTGACGGCGGAACCCTGGTGCTTTTCCAAAGTTGTTTCTAAAAATCTTTTCTCTTTGATTTGTTTCCTTTTTAATTGGTCATTAGTTGCTTTCTTTAAATTACTTTTATTAAAATTCGTTTTTAATACTTTTAAATTCAAAATCAACATTTTCCAATTTTAACTTTCAGATAATTAATTAGGATTAGGGTTTTTCACAAATTGTTTTAAATAATCCCAGCGGAAAACGACCTTACTTGAGCTATTTATACTACAACCTTGTTCTCTTGCAAGTATTTTGTGTGATTTTATCCCTACTTTGGCAGGTGGTAAAATCCCTATAAGAGGGTTTATATATATATAGACAAGGCACATTAGACTATGGGATTGAGTATGAGAAATGCAAAGAATCAATTCACAAGCTATTGTGACAGTGATTGGAATAGGGATGAAACTGATATGAAAAACACATCTGGATATGCTTTCTCTTCTGGAAGTGGGGTTTTCTCGTGGGCCTCAGTTAAACAACATAGTGTTGCTTTATCAACAACTGAAGCTGAGTACATAAGTGCAACTGAAGCAACCACTCAAGCTGTGTGGTTGAGGTTTGTGCTTCAAGATTTTTGTGAAAAACAAACTGAAGCTACTTCTATCTACTATGACAATACATCTGCCATTGCTATGACAAGAAATCCTGTGTTCCATCAAAGAAAAAAGAACATCGGAAGAAGATATCATTACATTCAAGAAGCATTGCAATCAAACATCATCAAGCTAATCTATTGCAAGTCTGAAGATCAGCTTGCAAACATTTTCACCAAGGCTCTAGCAAAAGATCGATTCTACATACTCAGAGAGAAGCTTAGAGTTAAACCAGCTACCAGCTTAAAAGGGAGTGTTGGAGCATAAGCATGGTAGCTAGATCAAGCATTCAAGGTTGCTGCAATATGAAAGAAGAAGAAGCTCGAAAATGTCTAAGTGTTGTTCTTAACTAAGTTTATATATGTGTAATAAACGGTTAAGATTATGTCATCTCAACGGTGTATAACTTGACACATGTCCAGTTTGTTTTATGTTAAGTCAATCCATGTGAGTTGCACGTGAACATAGTCACGATGCTTTGATGGGTTGGCAACGACTATTTAGCTGGTTTGTAGCCGAGTTTCATGGATCGAATCCAACGTAGATTTGAGAAGCAACGTACTCTTCTTCCCCAAAAGTTCATCTCTGATATTCAATATTTGAATACATTTCAATTACTTGTTGAATTGATTACAAATACATGGAGAAATTTAGCCCAAAAGTAGCTCAAACATTAACATCTTTCACAATGGATGAGCAAGTCAATTAATTAGTGATGTAGTTTTTTTTTATCCTTTAGTGGTACTTTGTAGATGACAAAAGTTTTGGAAACGTTTTGCAAATAGTCTTTCATGCTTGTTTTTTTCTTCTTCTTATGACTAGTTAACAGAGTTTGAACTGAAAGGAATAATCTCAAAGGCGTCTATCGGAAAAAGTAGTAATTTTGGTCTAACTGAATGGACTAATCTCAAAGAATTCCATCAGAAAAAGTTGTAATTTTAGTCGACAATCTCTGAATGGAAGAACAATTATAGTTTTCATTATTCTGTTCTCCTCTTAATTTTAGTTTCGACTTTGTTATGAAAATTGTTAATATTATTTTCAAATTTGTTATGACAATTGTTCATCATCCAGAAGATGAATTAGGAGGTGTAGAAGAGAAATCATGGAGATCGACAGACAGGAGAGAAGTTCAGGAATTTCATCAAACAAGTTGTCTCTATATTAGGGGTGGGCAAACAGGTAGAGGAACCGCGGGTTGGAGCGGGTAATGTAGGTTTGGGGTGGGTACGGGCTGGGTCTTATATTTTTTGGGAACAAACGGGGCGGGCCGAGCCGGGCCATGGTTATCTACGGGGTGGGCCAGTTTCTAAACCTAAGAAAAAAGGGGCCCCGGACCGACCAGTTTCTAATTATAATCAACGGTCGAGATTGAATGATAATCTATCATCCAATCTGAACCGTTAATTTGTAACCTAGGTTTCCAAATCAGTTTTAGTTTCAGTCTCACTCTCTCACGGTCTCACTCCCATGCCCACCTCTCCACCGTCACTCCCTCGACTCCGATGACATCCCAGAGAACGGCCATCACCGCCGCCACGACCAACACAACGACACCACCACCACCCATCCAGTCATCCTCTAACCTCGACGACATCCGTTACTTCGCCGGCTATTGTAAGTCTACTGTCTACTTCTCTGAATTTTATTTTTGTTAATGCGGCGGATCAGTAGTATGAATAATAGGATTGATTAGAGAACTGCGTGCGTTTTTCAGATTTGGGGAGAATAAACACACTCAATCAGATTGTTCATTCGGTCCAAGCAACTTCTCCTTACTGCCTTTCTCTTGGGTGTCAAAGAATATGAGCATTTGATTGTACTGTAGGCGGATTTCTGAACGGTTGTTTGAACTTCTGATTTAGTTTTTTGATCAAATGAAGTTGTACATTCATGTTTATGATTTTCCAGTTTGTGCGAAAATGAAGCTTTCTTAATTGGAGCAAATATTTGTTCCTTAATTTGTTGGAGGATGACTTACCTTTACAAGTTTCAAGAACTCATGAACCAAAAAATGAATGAATATATTTTTTTTGTTTGTTTTTATTTTATAGAAGTGAACCTCTAATTTGGAAGTGAAGAAGCTTAGAGACGCAGAAAACCAAAATGTTACGAACTAGATTTGAGTACCGTCGGACAAAAGTAAATCTCGTTCTGTATGAGTTTTGTAATTTTTTTTCATATAATGGATCATTACAGTTTTATTTTTTAAGGGATTTTGAAAATTGTGTTGGATTGGACCTGTAGTAGTTTGCATTCAGAGCTACTTTTTTTGTTTGGCAGTTGATTGATTTATATGATTTCAATGTCTTGCTAGTTTAGTCACGTGTATTTACTCATATACGTGAGTAGTAACTTATATTATGGAGCTTTTATATTGATTAGCAAATACCTAACTAAGTAGTATCTGGCAATAAATTGGAGACTCTAGTTCTTACTTGACACGGTCGGTAGCATTTGAATGCTTCAATTGGTATAGGAATGTTTGATATTACAAATAATGTACTTGGTAGATAGCCAATGCTAAATTGGATATATGTCTTAATAATTTCTATTTATCTTTGCAAGTCTTGGTAAGAGTTGCCTTCTTTTGCGTTTCTCAGATAGTTCCTTCACCACTAGTTTCATAACAACCATTGGGTGTGTATTCCCTAGCCTTAGAGTTAATTGTATCTGTCATTTGTATACATATGATATGCTTTGAGTGTGGGAGTTCGTGTTTGAATCTCGATATTTCATACTAGAATGCTACCAAAATGCAGGTTGAGGAATTGCCAAATTAGCTTCTCTTGTCAAAGACGATCTTACTTGCAAGCATCTTATTCTCTCAATGGAAGAGTCCTTGGTGGACTTCCTTCAGAGTGATACCATTACCAAGCATGTAAGACAAACTCCTAAGTGGTATTAGCATTGCCATTTCTTATGAGATTAATTTTAGAGTAAAATATTAAAATTATATGGAGCAAGAATGATGCAATTCTTTGTTTGTGCTATCTCTAATCAAATCCATTGCTTCCCACAACTAGTATTCTATACCTACTTGCTCATCATTCTGCCTCTGCATTAATTTTTTTGTATTTTAGTTTATGCATTAAGTAACATCATGCAAATAATATAAAAAGTTGGTTGCAACTGACTTGTTTGTTTTCAAAACTACAAGTCTTTAATTATGCTTAATTCCTTTGTCATTAGCGTATGAGATGCTTTCGTAATAGGTTAGCTTTAAAATATGTACAAATATTATATCCTAAATAAGTTGTGAACTAAAATGATGCAGTTTTGAATCTGTGCTCTCCCTATTTTTTGAAATATCTGCAAGTAAAGTGTGGCACTGAATTATAAATAGAACTATATATGTATGTATCATTATGGTGGTAAAAAGAAGTGTTAAATAACGTGATATATGTCATCTATTTTTCTTTCTTTATTTGATTAATGAATATACTTCCATTATTTAATTTTTACAGATTTCTTTCTACATTATGTCTCAAAGTCAAAGTGCCCATAGTACTAATGTAGCATCATCTACGACCACATCACCATGTCCTCCACAACCACCAACACAAGCACAACCCACACAGTCAAAATCATCAATGCCTCCCCCAAAACCCTCTTCCTCCAGACAAAAGAAAAACACCACCTATTCCAAAGACAAAACAACCAATTATATTAGCTTCACTAGAGAGAACTTCTTCTGAGAGATCTTGGGTTTGGGATCATGTCACTAAGTGTACCATCTCGGAAATAAAAGAAGTAGAAAATGATGGAAAGAAAGAGATAGAAGAGGTACAAGTATTGAAGGCTAAGTGTAACCATTGTAACGCCCTTTTTGCATGTGATACTAGTGGGGGTGGAACTAGTACTTACATTAAACATATCAATAAACATTGCAAGTCATATAAACCAATTGATGAATTGCAAAACGTTCTAGGCAGTTCTGGACCTTCTGGAGACCTTAAAAACATGTTTGTTGCTAAAGGGTGGAGCCAAGAAGAGGCAGTGGAAGGTATTGTTGAGTATATTGTGATCGACGAGGTAGCTTTTAGTTGTATAAAGAGAGGCGGATGATGTGCAAAGTTCAGCCTAAACATGCATGTTCCATCTTAGAGAACTATTGTGAGGAATTTATTCACTATGTATGATAGCATGAAAGATTAGTTAAAAAATGAGATATACAAGCATAGAGTGAGCTTGACAACTGATACATGGACAAATGTGCAAAATCTGAACTACATGGTGCTAAATGTTCATTTTGTGGATGATGAATGGAATATGCACAAAAGGTTTCTAAACTTTTGTGTGATTTCAAGTCATGAAGGCAAAGAAATAAGGAAGCTGATTGAGCAATGTTTGGTTGAGTAGGAGATTGAAAAGGTGATGTGTATCTCAGTTGACAATGCATCGGCTAACAAGGTGGCAATTGAGTATGTTGTTCGTAAAATACAAAAATGGTCTAATAGTCATATGATTATGAATGGCAACTTTATGCATGTGAGGTGCTTACCTCATATTATCAAATTGGTAGTGAAAGATGGGTTGAAAAGATTAGATACAAGTGTGGATGCTCTTTGAAATGCCGTGCAGTTTGTGAGATCAAGTCCCCGAATGTTTAGTTATTTCAAGAAATGTGTGGACAATGCGAAGTTGGATAGTAGGGGTCTAGTTGTTATGGATGTGCCTACTAGGTGGAATATCACATACATGATGCTAGAATCTTGCTTGAAGTTTAAAAAAGCATTTGAAAGGATGTCCGAAGATGATGAAGCCAATATATACTCCACCTATTTCAGTGAAAATGTGCTTAATGATGAAGAAGAAGAAGTGGCGAGTAAAAGGAGGTTTGGACCACCTAAGGAGGAAGATTGGGACGGTGCAGAAGTGTTTGTGGAAATTTTGTCTTCTATCTTATAACCTTGAAATTTAGTGCAAGTAAGTATCCCACATCTAATACAGCTATTCATGATGTCATTGCTGTGGAAAACGAGATTGAAAAGTTTTTTTTGCCTGAATATATGCAAATTGGAAGAATTGTAGAGTTTGTGCTACGTGATATGGCATTCAACATAAGAGCCAAATATCGAAAGTATTTTGATTCAATTGAGTCCCTTAATCAAATATTTGTAGTTGCCCTTGTCTTAGACCTAAGGTTCAAATTGAGGCACTACATGCACTTCTGTAGAAAGCAATTACAACTTCCTGAATAAGAGATTCAACAGAAAAGTAATGAAGTGAAGACTTTGTTGAAGGCGATGTGTGATGAATATGCTTACCAAGCTTTCGGTTCACAAACACAACAAAATGGTAAAGAAGATTTAGTTCTTGACACTTCTTGTTCAAGGATAAAACAATCATCTTCTAGTGTGCCAAAAGAAAATCCAATGATATTTAGTCAAGTTATGGATGATTGGGAGAAGGAACTAGAAGACACCAATGATAAGATATTGCACTTGCACATGAGGTGGATAGGTATCTCCTTGACACTGTAGAGAAGGCACAACATGGTTCATAATTTGACATTTTGAAATGGTGGAAGTTGAAAGGGAGGAGCACATATCCCATACTTGCTTTGATAGCAAAAGATGTCTTGCCAATTCAAGTGTCAACAGTTGCCAGTAAGAGTGCATTTAGTGGAGGAAAGAGAGTAATTGACCCTTTTAGATCACCTCTCCTTCCTCAAACAGTGGAGTCATTGATATGCCTCCAAAACTGGTTAAGAAGTGAACCAATTAGCAACATTGAGTATGAAGCAAGTCCGGCGGAACTTGAATTTTATCAAGAGTGTAAAGAAGGTATCTCACCAAGTGTTCCTGAAATTGAAGCTCCTTAAACAACTCGAACGAATAAAGGAAAATGAATTGCGGTAATATTTTAAACTCAAATAAACAAACTTTAAATTTCAATGATTCAATTTCAATGAGGATAATATGATGTTGGATGTTAAAAATGTCATGTTTATATTCTATTTTTGCTTACAGATTCAATGAGGATTGTTGTTGGAACTTGGGCGTTGGATGTGGTTTTGGGTGTTAATTTGGAATTTATTACGGATGTCATGTTTATGTTGTTTTGGATTATTTGATTTTTGGACTTTGGAATTTGGATGTCTTGGACTTTCAGATATTTTGTATGTTGATTTGATTTTTAGATGTTGGACAATGTAATATTGTTATTTTGGATGTATTGTTAATCTATGAACTTGGATGTTGGACTTTGTGTTTAAATTGGATGTGAATAATGGTGAATTTGTGCAAAATCTGCATAAATGCAGTATGTGACTCAGTCCAGTTGCAATTTGTAATCAGTTTGCAATTTGTGAAAATTTTATTATTATTTTTTTTTTTCAAACAAAAAAAAAAAAAAAAAAAAAAGGGACCTTTGGACCCGGCCCGAACCAACCTGTTTCAACCGGGCTTGGTAAGGTCCGGTTCCTATATTAGAAAATGTAATCTCCGGCTCGGCCCGGCCCGTGCCCACCCCTACTCTATATAAATTTACAAAGCTTATATTGCTGATTAAGAGCATTCATATCTTGCAAAACGTCATTTGATAGAGACAGTTGTCTTACCGTCAAGTCCTTGCACACCAAGTGATAACGAATATTGGACAAGGATAGTTTTAGAGAAAGATCTAGAGGATATAGCGTATTGCAATTAATGGGCGATATTGTGTTGTGAACTATGGTGGAATCAACGAGGGACTTGTTAAGGGTTTTTAGTTTTTACTTGCCAAGAAAGATACCAACCACTCTCTTGGTTTAAGGATTTCAAGGCGCCATTAAGTGAGGGCAATTGGTTGTTAGACTCCGATGTTAAAACAACTACGTTTAGGGTTTTCAAGGCGTCAATGAGTGAGGGCAATTGGCAGTTAAACTCGAAGATAAAGAACTTGGGGAATAGGACACTATTTTTGCGTGATTATATATAGTCCATTCTCTGTTACGGATCCCTCTGCTCTGGATGCAAGGCTAATTGCATAACTCTTTTCCATACCTATCTCATGATCGGAATAATGGAATCAAGATAAAGATGACTATTTTTAATATGAAAGATGGAAAAATCAGTAACTCTCTAGTGGGCTACTGGATTCGTGAACTCAACCGAGTTTCTATTGGGGATATCTTAATTCTATGACAGCTACTAGAAAAGTTAAAAGATTAATTTGATCATGTAGCAAGTGATGAACTAGTTCACTTTCTAAAAACGTGACAAACGTTTACTGAATAAGTGATGCTATTAGGATAGTGCATTGATTGCTAGACGTTTATCCCTGATTATGGGATAGGACCCAAGACACTGCACCTATTAGAGTGAGTTCACTCACTTTAGGAGGGCAATGGCAAGACAAGGGCAAGGGTAACGAAATTGCCCTTACTATGCACTCCAAATAATAATTGTCTTTGTGTAAGTGTACCCGTTTGAGAAGACAAAGGGTAAGGGTAATATTATTCACAAATATATATATATGTAATTTTTTTTTTAAATTTGTATGCCTCGTAAAATGTGTACTTAATAAGTTTGTTGAAAATCCAACGGCTGAGGGCGAGGCTTTTGGCTCGGTGGATTGCACGTGGATGGACCCGCTCTGTCTGCTGCCTAACGTCAGCTGTGACGTAGACCACTGCTTCCAGGCGCAAGCCCAGGCTTGAATTTGCACGGCAGCCCAATGGGCTGCTGCCCTTGCTCTAATTTCCTCAATGATATTGGACCGGTGGAGATGATTTCTTTGAGTTGAGGTCAGTTCAAACCACATCTACTGGTCTTCTATATTTCTCATTTCTCCAATGTATTTTTTCATTATGCCTGACATATAAAAGTAAAAACTGAAAACGAAAGTGTTCGATAAAACAAAAGCCATATTGGAAAAATCAGCCTTACTTTGTCACTTGGAAATAAGACAAAGTAATGAAAATGGTAAAAATGGGAAAAGCCAAACAGATGCACACAAAAATTGAAAATATAAAGACCAACCACGTTTTACTTTGCCACTTAATCTTTTCTAGGTTTAATTTATGGTATGTTGATGTGGTGTATGAGCTCTCGTGTTTACAATTTTACAAGGTTTTACTTATATATATATATCACACTCGATTTCTATATCTCTCTCGTCGCATTGTTTCCTGTCTCGAAGAGTGTAGATAAACCACATCAATAATCTTTATCTAGTCCTTTCATGATATTTAATACGCGTTAATCATTTTATTATAATCGATTCCTTTGTATTTATCTCAACCTCACTTTTATCAATCTCTTAATTGTAACATAAGTATTTTATATCATAGCATAGAACGAAATGAGCAATGTTGTTTTCTATATTAAAATATCAGTTTATTTTTAGGAGTCTCCGCAGTGGATGGAGTGTGTGTGTGTGTGTGTGTGTGTGTACTGACCAAGAAATCAGTTAACAATATGACTAGAACTTGGAACACGCACACAGATGATTTATTCTCATGGCAGAAGAAGATGGGTGGTGGCTATGGTTTGTACTGTCATAGTTCTCATATCTCCAACCGTTGAGAGGATCGTTTTCTACACTGATAAGGTATGCATATCCACATATATGTGAATTTTCATCTACCATATCACATACACTGATACTGTATCAATAACATGTCAATAAGTTATCAATACTTTATTGACGCCAGGTTGATATCACTAGTTTGTTATCAATGATGAAAAATCTCAAAATGAATTATAACTAGATCAAGAACTAGTTGGTAGTGATTGATCTACAAATTTGTGTTATCATCGTGATTCATATGATGCCATTCTTATGATATTTCAATTTTATTGTTGCAGTATCTTGAGAAAAAGACCAAGAGACCTGTGCTTAAGGCCTTGCAGAAGACCAAAGAAGGTCCTCCCTCCTCTACTGATGCAGTAGATTGAATATTTGAAGCTATAAATGAGTGGGTTGAGTTTGAATTACTAATAATAAAATATTCAAAATTCATTAAAATGAAAAGTATCATTAGAGATGAGAAGTTAAACTAAGTAACTAAAATAATTTTTCGACACTCTTCACTTTTTAATTTAACAAAAATTTAGAACTTCTCTTGACAATGCTCAACAACTAGTCTAATGTATCAGGAAGACAGATTGTCAACATCATAATAATTATCGATAACAGGAAATATACACGGACGTGTAGAAATTTCTATATCTGTATGTGGATGCGCGCGTACGAATATTTATAATTGCATGAAATTGCAGAGCTGGTTTTGGGGCTAATATCACTTCTTCTGACGACATTCCAAGAGCAGATCTACAGAATATGCATAACGTAGAAACAGGCAAGTAATTTGCTGCCTTGTAAGAAACAGTTCATGAGGACAAATGGACACCGCGCAGAGTTTGTTTTCTTCTTCTTTTAACTAAGTATTTATTGTTATTATAATTTGATAATCAGTCACAAACAACTAAGTTATTAGTTGTCGAGCACAGCATACAACTCTTTAGTGCTACTTCGGCTTTCGTTTTATAATTATTCATTTGTATTATTTTTTTCCTTCTAACGGGAAGAGGGTATCTTGATACTTAAAAAAAATTTGTTTTTGTTGTAAAATCGACGGTGTGTGCAGTAGAATAAGTAAAACAAGACACAAAATTTACGAGGCTCTTTTACAGTCAGTGTGACTGGAGTACGTCCTCGGAGCAACAATGGTACCTTCATTATAATTTAGAATAATAGGAGTACAAAAATAACTCTCTCTATTATCTCCTCTCCTCTTCCTCTCTTCTCTCTTCCTCTTCCGTGAACTTATCACTTTGATGTTGTGTGGAGTTTGTATTTATACAGGCAAGCTTCGACAAACAATAGAATGGCCTATTATTTAATTCTTTGAGTGGACATCCACTGTTCTACATCAGTTTTTTTCATTTTTAAAGCATAATTGAGACTATTTTACTTTTTGCTCTTAATAATTTAGAAGGCATAAGAGATTGTTGACTTTGTATTTTAGGTAGGATCCTTGATTAATATCAATTCCATGGAATCACACGTAATCCCGTGTAATTAGTTTTTTCTCTCTATTTACATTAGGGTTGTATACATATAAATGTCTCTCATTGAGAAGAATATATATATCTTTCAAGCATTCTCTTCTTGGCACCAGAGCCAGGTTTAGAAAAAAAAATTAGAAAAATCGCTCTGCTGTGCGCATAACCTAGCGCTAGAACTACCGACCGCGCCGCCAGTTCTGCAGTGCGTTGTCCGACCACTAGTCGCGCCACAAGTTGTGTTGTGTGACATCCGACCAACGAATGATGCCATCGTTGCTAGACTGAACCCACTCTGTTCCGTTCCTTCTCGTTTTGTTCGCTCCATTCTATTTCTCGCAAACCCCAATCTCCATTCCCTCTGGCTGCCTGACTCGCATGCTGAATACGTGTATAAAAAGTTGTGTAAAAAAGTGGTGTCACAAATCCGTTTACACATACACACACACACACACACACACACATATACATATATATATATATGCTTAAAACTTAAACTTCATAGCTAGGTTACTGTAAATAAAAGGTAGTTAACAAGATTGATATTGTCACATCCCAGCCCATGCCCCTACCGCATCTCGGGCTCGACTCCACCGTAACACGATATTGTCCACTTTGCACCCCGACCATGCCCTCACGGTTTTTTTTTTGGGAACTCACACGAGAACTTCCCAATGGGTCACCCATCCTGAGATTGCTCTCGCGCAAACTCGCTTAACTTCGGAGTTCCTACAGAACCCGAAGCCAGTGAGCTCTCAAAAGGCCTCATGTTATGTAGAGATGGGAATATACATACAAGGCTTCCAGGATCCTCACCCCTGGGCGATGTGGGATCTCACAATCCACCCCCCTTAGGGGCCCGACGTCCTCGTCGGCACACTTCTGGCCAGGGATTGGCTCTGATACCAAATTCAAATTGTCACATCCCGGGCTCGACTCCACCGTAGCACGATATTGTCCGCTTTGGGTCCCTGACCACGCCCTCACGATTGTTTCTGGGAACTCGCACAAGAACTTCTCAATGGGTCACCCATATACTGGGATTGCTCTCACGCGAACATGCTTAACTTCGGATTTTCTACGGAACCCGAAGCTAGTGAACTCCCAAAAGACCTCATGCTAGGTAGAGATGAAAATATACATATAAGGCTTACAAGATCCTCACCCCTGAGCGATGTGGGATCTCATAGATATCACACGTTTGATAGAAAGAATTGATTTGGATAAGACTATTCATCATATTGAAGATATTTTAAAGAAAAAAAATGGATGATAAATTCTTTATTGTGCTCAAGTTGAAGGTTGCTTATGAAGAAAAGATATACCTATTAATCCTCATAAAAATAGTAGGATTAAAGGAGACAACCATACTTTTAAAGGAAAACTAATAAAAATGGCTTGAAAACTTTGAGTTTTAACGATAAGGACAAAATAAAGAATAAAGTGAATAGTACCAAAATTGACTTTTTAATGTAAAAATATGATCTTTCGTTAAAATGAACAATATTAAAAGTTTTTCGTTAAAATTCCCTACTTTTAATCTAAGTCAATCCTTTCTATAAAACTAATAGATCGCTAGCTACTAGATGCGTGGAACGTGAAATATTAGTCTTGAGATGAACCTTTAAGCATTTCTTTATGAACTTTTACAATTTTTGAGTTTTTCCACGTCATGAAATGTATAAATGCAGCCTCCAAACAACCGCTCCATGACTAAACAGTTTTTAATTTAGTTTAGTTTTTTTTTTTTTAAATGATTAAGAGTAACCTAAAAGTAGATATTTTGGATATCAAGTAACGGTACAAGATTAAAAAAGAGTAAAAAAAATAGAAGGAGAAAGTCTAAATAAAGAGGTTGCTAAAGAATGATTAGTTTTTCCACAGATGGAGTGCTAAATTTATACCAAGTCTACTGGTTTGAGCAAATATGACTATTTTCTAAATAGTTAAAGCGTGGTCAAACGTAACCGAACAAAAATTTAAAGGTGGATTATCTGTCCTTCTATTTTCATACTCACCTCATGCCTTCCTGTCTGTGTGGTCACGGTTAAGCCACGTCAACATTTTATATTCTTATTACTTTTTGTTTTATTATTTCTATAAAAAATTAATATAAAATGTTGACGTGACTTAACCGTGACCACACATTACAGGAGGGCATGGAGAGAGGATGGAAATGGGAGGGCAGACAATCCACCTCCCAAAAATTTTGCTTTTTGATGATAGGGAAATGAAACCTGTATTATGTTGAGTGACTGGTGAATATATTGGAACTTGTTTAGAAGTGCTTGTAAAATGATCGAAAATGTTTTTAAAAAAAATATTTTTGGATTTCAAAAATTCTTGAAGTACTTCATGCAAGAAATATTAGTTATGTGCTTCTTCCAGGAATGAAGCATTTTAAGTATTTTTTCAAGATTTACTTGTATTTTTACTAAAGATTGGTTACAAATATTTCTAAATATTTTAAAAACACTTCCAAACAAGCATTTACATATGTTACCTAATTTTTTTCTGTATTTTGAAGTCACATATTTGAGTACAAGGAATGGATGCTTTTAGAATTTGAACACCTCAATCCCCTTTAGTTCCCTAACCCCACATGCATCCTACTTCAGAAAGAAAGAGAGAAAGTGGAGAATTATAAACCAACCATAATGAGAAAGATATCATGATGCCTATCTAATCTGTCGATTTCCATGAACCATACAAAACAACACATCTATAATCTCTTCATCATATAATTTTGATATTCACTTTCGCGTTTGTGGTTTATTGCATTTTTTTTCTTTGAAATTTGTTTTGTTAGCGCCATCTATCCGGTAAATACACCAAAATTTCTTTCAAGTTAAAATTTTCAAATGATAAAACTTTTTTGTTTAAAAAAACAAATAGATGAAAAATTCAATTCAAACGAAACAACGATGAAAATACAAGAGAAAATGTTTATTACAAAGAATATGAAAAACTGAATAAATATATAATTTGCTTAAAAGTGTTTTTAAAATGACTGATAACGTTTTTAGTAAACATGTTTTTTGTACCAATCTTTAAGAGAAATGCTAGTGAATATTGAAAAACACTTAAAATGCTTATTGCAAGCACCTAACTGATTCTTCATGCAAAAAACATTAGTCCAAATTAAATTATAATTTTAATATTTGTTCGATTTCCCAAAACTTGAAGTTATAATTTACTGAGTATGATTCTCTCATCTCCTCTTTTCATCTCTTCTTCTCACATTCTCTATTTTGTTTTTCTCTTTCTATAAAAAAAATTAACATAAGATGTTGACGTGATTTAACTGTGACCGTTCAAATATTAGGTGAGGGAAGGGAAAAAAATTAAGAGATGAGAGATTCCTACTCTATAATTTACGTGTGTTGAGTGCCTTTTCTATCAATCACTGTTCTGAGTGGGTGTTATATACAGTGTGTGTCCCTATCCCTTTTCTTTTCCTTTTCCTTTTATCATGAAAAGCAAAATATCCCAATACCCCTACATGTGTTGCCATCAAATCATTCATACCATGTTTTTGTATCATATTTTTATATTATCTTAAATAATATTTCATGTGAACGATTCCATCATTTGAATTAATTAAAATTTTAAATTTAGTTCTTTATTTAATAAATTAATAATTAAAAAAATTAATTAATTAAATAATGATTGTGGTATACAAGGAGTATTTTTCCTTTCTTTCTTTGGGTTATATAAATTTTTCAAATGATATAATTGTCCAGATTAAACGTGGTATGAATAACATTACTCATTTTTCCTTGCTAAAATCTTTTCATCCAAACAACCCTATTCCCCTGTTTTCACGAGGTATTGGAATATTCAAATATTAAACCCCACATATCTTAATCTGACAAAAAATAAACCCCACAAAAAGAAAGCCCTTCTTTTCCTTTTACAATATCTTATAAAATTAAAATTCCAAATTCCAACAATATTATCCAACAATGAAATAAATATATATAAAGTTTCAGTAAAAACAAAGTTACAAACTCCCCAAATCCTCTCTGCCTAGAAAGACAAAATAATCCTTCAGTCGCTGAATATGTTCATAATATTAAAGTGGAACACTAAATAAAAACACTAAACCACTTTGCTGTTTAATTTTCTCATATGTTTACTAACTAACTCTTATATGGACTCGATTGGAAGTACTTTTATAATGACTGAAAGTGATTTTGATAAAAATATTTTTAAAATCAATACTCAGTAAAATACAAATAAAACTTGAGAAAACACTTGAAGTATTTCCTACAAGAAGCCTAAAAATATTTCTTGCAGGCTACCGTTAAATTACTTTTGAACTCAAAAATATTCTCAAAAAACACTTTCAGTCTTTAAAAGGAGTTTTTTAACGAGCCCAAATTCTCCTCTTTACTGCATCAAGCAATGCAAGTTGGCAGCAAGCAGCTTGAAAAGAACCCAAATCCTCTCTTCTGCAACCAAAAAGTTCACAAAAATTGAAAACCAAAATTATTATAAGGACTTTATGCATTAAGGTCAACAAAGAGGTTAAAAGGAAGAGGTATTTGCAGGTGCAAATTTATTTAGACAAGCAATAATGATAATAATAATTTATCAAACGGTGAAGGAGAGACTTTGGAGAACTGCCTTTTACCTTTTTGGATTTTGCAAAGAGGTGTGGTGAGATTTTGTACAAGTCTTCATCCACTGGCTTTGGTGTAGGCCTGCGGCTTGGTGGAGGGCTTGGTGGCTCCTTCACATCACTCACCACCCAACTTTGCTCTTTTGCTTCTTTCACATGCGACTGCCGCATTTTGTTCTGCAGAATTTGCCACCAATAGAAAAACAATCAATCATTCATCATCCATCCATGAAACAATGTAATTATTTTGGTTTTGGAAATTATACACACAGCAAACATGTTCAGAGAAAAGTTAATCAAAACTAAACCCCAGAGTCGGTAAGACGTCAATAAAGTGCGCTAAATTGTGGTTTGTAAACGGCTTATAATCTGTTTAGTGTCCCTACAATTCTATGTTTGTTTATATTTTTACGACGTTTATGACCGGTTCTATTTCTGTCTGTATTTCCCCAACTTTTTTTCGATAACATACGATTTTATAGTTAGTATTAAATCGTAAGGGTCATGAATGATCAATGTGGAATTTAAAGCAAAATTGGGACTTGGAAATTAAACAAGCTGTACATAAAAAGAATGGATGGAGTTTATAAGTTACCCTTCTGCTAGGAACAACAATCATGGTAGGTGTGACAACATGATTCTCGTACAAATCACCAGCAACATACAGATCACGATCCTCATCGCGTTCATCAGAGTAAGTAGTGTAGCGCAGAAGCCCTGCCTGCCTTGCCGACTCAAAACACTGAGTAAATGGAAGGTCTTGGTTCCAATCCCAGCTCCCAAACGCTGGAACTTGACTCCTCATCAACCTAAAATCCTGTTTTTACACAAAACCCACACAACCAAATCAGAAAAAAGAAATTTATCATCTTCAAGATCAAACTCCAAAAGGGTATTAAAGACCAGGTTTACTTGATCCATTGAGTGTGAAAGTTCTGAGCTTTGAAGAAGCAGAAGAGGAGAGAATTTGACCTCAAAAACTCAAAGGGTTGCTAAATGTGATTTCTTTCTTTCTCCTCTTCTTTTGCTGTTGGGTGAATGTGAGCGTGGGTTTATGATAACCTATTTAAAGTGAAAGCTGGAGAGAGAGAGAGAGGGAGGGTAATAAAGTAGGGGTATATAGGAATTCAAAGGTTATTAAGCCAAGTCAATGCTCTCTTGTTCATTTTTTTTCATCCTCTCTTAGTCTTCTCTTTTTCTTCTATATTATTTGGACGAGTACGGTTAAATCCCGTTAATATTTTGAGTTATTTTTTTAATAGTCAGCAAAAAAAACAAAAAAGTAATTTGTGAGAAGAGAAGGAAGAAAATGAAAATAGAAGGAGAGAATCTCATTCCAAATGTAATGGTAAAAATGAAACCCAATAGAGTATAGAAATCGAAGTTTCACATGAACAGACAGAGAGACAAAGGAGAAGGGGATGATAGAATGCTCTGCTGAGTGAGCTTTTTACCCTTTTGGTTTCTATTTTTCGAACACTGACCCTCTCTCTTTTACTTTTCTCAGGTCTTTTGCTTTGCCTGGTTTGTCTCCGCGCTCACCGGATGATGCATATTCCAAAGCCTGAAAAAGAACCCTACTTTCTTTTCAATTTTCATTTGGGTTTTTTTATTTTTTATGGCTTATTTGTTGATTTATAATTATATTATTTACTCTCTAAAACTAAATTGGTCTTAAAAAAATTTCATTCGTCAATCAAAATGGCTCATCTCAATCAGTAAAGTATGTTATGTCCGCATTGTCCATCTGTTTAATTAATATGAGATAGAATTGACAGAAGTTGAGTGAAATAGCTTGATTTTAGCAATTTCGACAAACTGAGACAAATCGAATTTTAACAGTAAAGTAGGATTAAAAGATTTCAAGGAGCTAATCAATAAATATACCTTTTTTATGAAATTTCTTCAATATTCAGTATACCGTATTACAAAAAAAAATTCGTTGTTAAATCTCACTCATTGTATCCTCAACTAACAATTTATTGGTTAAACATCTCTTGTGCACAAGATATCATGAAGCATGCTAAAAAAATATCTTCTTTTAATAAGAATTCTCAACTGGGTCTTGTTTGTTTTCTTTAATGAATTTTCAATTGGGTTTTGCTTTTTACGAGAATTATTTTTTTATGACGGAAATACGGATGATATATTACGTGTTTTTATGTAAATGATGGAACATTTTATTTTTTAAGTTATTAATTTTTTAACACACATATCTTATCATTGGTAATGTACTATTTCGTGTGCCGATCACATTGAAAAATCTATGATTTCCACAAGAATTTTCAATTTGATTCTTCAGCCTCATTCCAATAGGGTTTGGGCACTTTGGCTTTACCCTGTTTTTTAACCCCACACGCGCACCAGAGTGAACATGGTGCTCCGTGCGTTAATTAACTTTGGGTGCTTCCTCCAAGGCTCCAACCAAAGTTTTGAAACCAAAGTTTTAAAGTAGAGCTTAATTTTTAGATTCTAAACTTATCTTAACATGTTCTAATCTTTGAATCAAATATGAGTTTTAATCCAAAACGTATTTTTGAGGCAAATTTAATCTAAAATTTCCCTTGAATTAGTAGAGCTGACTCACTGTATATATGTACTTTTTAATTTTATATTTATAAATTAATTGAATCTAAAGATTAAGATATAATATATTCAAAAGTTTAGAATGTAAATAATAATTTTTAAATATTTTAGTTTTTGATTTAAGACAAGTCAGTAGTACATTTGTCAGATTTCTGAGGGCATTAAGCAGTTGCCATCAGCATGTTGGACTTGCAGACTTAACGTTTCAAAGCTGGAGAGTGTAGATTGCAGAAGGACATGCACATGCACATGCACATGCGGCAGTAGACAAGCTGATCAGTTCTCAGCATATTCAGGACAATTAATTTTATATTTTATTTTAATTAAATTTATAACATCAGATAAGAAATGTAAAGGTCAAAAAACACTAGCAGCCTAGCCTAGCGTGGCCTAGGGAACATACAACATGAACTAGTGGGAGTGTGTGGCCTATAATAGGCTTTTCAACTCTAGTCCCCAAAATTTTTGGACTTTCATGGTTTTGGCGGTATTTGTTTTGTCAATTCAGATTTTTATTTGAGAAATACTGGGGAAACTATCTCCAAGTGTATTAATAAATTAAATGATTTTTTATTAATAAAAAATAAGCACATTAAACAACATTTAAACAATAATCCAATTACCAACATCGACAACATTTTGTTTAGAAATTTGATTTCTCTAGCATTGCCCTATTATGAAAAATTTTGTCAAAATTGTAAGGTGACAAAAATTTCATGAAAAGTCTCACTTTTGAGAGTTTTCTTAGCTTTGGGATTATTCGACAATCTTCTTGAAAATCATTTTTGATTTCTTTTCTCTTCCTCTCTGTTTACTTTGTTTGGTGTAGAATTGTTGCTGAAACACTATAGTCACCATGATATTGCCGTTTTTTGACCCACACACACAACAAACACAAGGTTTGAATCCAGTTATCATCATCGATATAGGGTTGAAGTTAGAAGCCATGGAAAATGGCGGATTACGTCGGGGTTGGGTTTAGCCAGAACTACACTATAGGTTTAGTTGGTGTAGCGACACGGCTCTTGAATGTCTAAAGGGTATCGAACGATGACATAATTTTATCATTTTATTTTGCTTTTGACTAGTAATTTCCAAGGATAGTCTTGGAGTTTGGTTTTGATTTATCTCTTAGGAGAGTTTGCTAATTTGGTTGCTCTTTATAAGAGAGGTACTTGATTTTCATTTTTATTTTGGTGAGCTACCTCTTTTGAATTTATGTGTGAAGGGTGGAGTTGTTTGATTTGTTGGATTTACTTGGTGTCCTAAGATCGTGGTGGTAATTAGTTGATGCAGTCGATCCATGGGCATCAATCTTCTTGTCCCAATAAGTATTTTGAGATTTTGTTCTCATGTGATCTTTATGTAATACGAGGTTTAATGGATTTGTTAAATTGCGTAATCTTGCGATTCTCAATGAGCTCGGACAAATGCTTGAAGTCTTCTCATTACTTTGTGATTAGTGATGCTTTATTGTAATGTTTTTAGATCTAGTTTGCAAGGACTATTTCAGGGCCAAGTTATTAATGATATGAATTTGAAATGTCATTTTTTCAATACATAAAATATTGTACTATTCTTAAACAAATAGAGGTGTAATTAAAAAAATATTATTTATTGAATTATTTATCCTTAAAGAATGTTGTATTTTTTATTTAGGATTCTATTTGACAAAGTTATTACTTTATATTTATGTTTATAATAGAGAATTGTTATTAGCGCTCTAAGAATCTCATTCTACATCCCTCACAAATGTATTTTTCTTTCTAATTGTAGAAAGTTTGAGTGCAAAATGAAATGTTTGGAATACCAGTAACAATTCCCTTATAATATATGTGCATGTTTATAATATACATGTGTTGAAAATTTTAAATTACTATTATTATAATATTAAATTTATTAATTGAATGGAAATTAGAAGTTGAGTCTTTTGGTAGAAAGATGTGTCTATTCAAATGAAAAGTTGTAACTTTTAACTCTTTATGAATAGTCACATGCTTTTTAAATAGGTGTCTCAACTTCTATAAATAGGAAAGCCCCCCATAATCATAAATAACTTTTAATCAATACATATATTCATACATATAGTGCACTAAATATTAGAAAGTTGCATTGAGTCTATATGAGATAGTTTTCAACACAATCGTGGTTCATGGAGCTTAGTGATTTGGAGTGCTACTATTATAAGGATGTGGTCGTTGTATCTTGGGAGACAAACGCCGATCAACCATGAGCACCATAGTGAGGCGTAAACTTGTCTTAAGGACAAAGTGTCCAACACTTGTCTTGACCGTATTTTTAGGTTTTTCTAAGGGAACTGTTATTAACACTCCCAAAATCGTATTCTACACTTATCACCAGTGTATTTTTCTTTCTAATTATAGAAAGTTTGGAGTGCAAAATGAGATTTTTTGAGTGCCAATACTAATTTCCTTTTCTAATTCATTATGTCATGTTCATTTAACATTGGTTACTTATGTGCATGTATTACTTTGATATATAATTGTATGAATTATTTCTTGATTTTCTATGTGATTTAATATAGCAATTAGACCTTGTTTTTTTCCAACAATCTTAAAGACAAGTTCTGGTTTAGTTGCTATCAAAAGTTGATCAAATAAAGTGTGCTTGTGAGAAAATCACGGACAGAAAATATGGTGTTTGATTACATGTTTTTGTCTTTTTGGTAAGTATATTCGTGTGTCATTGAAAATATGAATAACATGGTCATATGAGAGCAAACTCATGATTAGTATATGGTTGGGGTTTGCATGTTTATTACAAAGCATGACTCAATGTATATATCAAATCCTGGTTTACGGTTGGATGCTTTGGATCAGATTTGACACTTTGCCACTTCGACTGCTTGAACCCTTTTGAAGATATGCTTTGCATTGAAGTTTTGTCTACAATCTATGTGTATATATACTTGAATATTTCTCTTACACTTGTTGACTTATAAGTTTGCAGTTTTCTTTAATTTCCTTTAGAAGTATGGAGAATTAGATTGGTTGGTTATGATCGACCAACTGATCTGAAAGTGTTTTTTGAAACTAATGCAATCCTAGTAAAGGTTACATCGTTTGACCGAATGACACAATTGGGGTCTTGAGTATTGTAAGGAACTGGTATATGAACGATCTGAGAATGAGATAATTTATTTACTGCATATACACATGCATGAGTCTGTTATATGTTTGGTGTGTTTTTACGTCTACTATGTCTCTTGAAGTGGCACAAAAATGAAGGGAAAAAGCCGCCCTCTTTGCTAAGCGTTGGAAGGGAAATCTATTACATGATCTTTGTTCCAACCAATTGATTGTGACTGACGATAGTCCAAACTATGATTTATCCCATATGTATTCATGGAGAAATACAGGATATTTGGTTGTGCTCGATATTTCCTAAACAACTATTAGTGAATTATTTGAATGCAGCCATGATGGATATGTATGCGAGGTATTATGAAGGAACATGAGTTCGTTGT